GGAAGAGCAGCAGGATTAGCAGCAGCAGCAGCAGGAAAGCAGGAGCACTGAGCCGGGAGGAGGAGGAGCAGCAGCAGCAGCATGGCCCGGGTTTCTCTGTCAACCATCGCATTTTAACGATTTGATTTGCATGAGGGACATCACCGGTACGGTGCCAAAACGATGGTGGGGTGGAGTACTAAGTAGGGGTAGGCTGGCCTCTTGGTACCGGTCATTTGCGTGGTATCGAGTCGAGGAAAGAGGGGTCGGTAGGATCAAAGGGTATGCTGAAGTGCCTCAGAAGGGGGTAGGGTACTCCCTGATTTGACACTCCGAAGTGGGGGTACACTGTATCAGACAATCGTCAGACTGGGGTAGGGTGGTTTGATCGGACAGTGCCGTGGTAGGAGTCCCTTACCCTACCAACACTTCAACGTCGTTTGAGTGGAATAATGAGGGGTAGTATACCTGAGCTTTGACCACCCCCCTACATTGGACCCCAGGAACTCGGAGGATCGGGATGGCCGGGCGTGGACCGTACAAGCATTCTGATTTGTTCCTTGCACAGAACAAATCGGCTCGGGTCCGCCTCAGTAGTTACTGAGAGGCCGCGGCTCACGCCCCCGCGGTGTCAGGGGCCGGTGCCCCAGTGACCCAGCCCGGGCTTCCGCACCCTATACGGGCCGTTCGGCAACTTGCCAAACTGAGGGACTCCGGCGGCCGGGACTACCCGCCGGGCAGTTTGGCCCGGGCCGGGCACTACCGCGGCCCCGCGGTGGGCGGCTGTGTCGGATCCGAACGTAACTGATTGACGAGCCTTAGTGGCGGCAACTCACTGAGTCGCACGTGGTCACTCCGGGCCCGGGCCCGGGCGGCCGATGCGGCCCGGCCAGCCGGGCCCCCGGCATTATTTTAACTTAACTTTGAGTAAATATTGCCGGGCGGCAGTTGGTGTCGAAGCCTCCGAGGCGGGCTTGAAGACGAGAAATGCTGAGAACGCAGATGCGACGAGAGGAAGGAAGAGGAGAGGAGAGGAGAGGAGAGGAGAGGAGAGATGAAGGAAGAGGAGGAGATAGAGAGCGGGGAGGGGGAGGGGGAGGGGGAGGGAGAGGGAGGGAGAGGGAGGGAGGGAGGGAAAGAGAGGGAGGGAGGGAAGGAGGGAGGACGGGGTCAGGTCAGTTCTGGGTAGGGTAATGGAGTGAAGAGGAGTTGCAAGGAGTGAAGCAGGTAGCTTGAGATGAGACGAGAGCAGAGGATGGTTAGCTGTTGACAAGGTGAAACATCAGACTTTCACACGTCGAAATGCTCTGCTACGTGGAGGAATAAGAAATCAGTATAGGAAGTTGATGTCTGCAGAGAAAGTTTAGGTGCTGCAGATGATTTGGGCGAGTTTGTATACACCAAGTTCATGTGACATCTCAAACAAAAGCAGAGGATCGACCTGAAAGGAAAAAGGGAGGATAAATCAAGGCTTGATTGTTGTCTTACCTACCATTGTCTTGTTCGGCAGGCATGATTGAAGTGCTCCGGAGTTAACGGCAGTAAGGAATCAGAAGACCTGAAGCCTTCTATGCAGGATCAACGCAGGTCAGGGGAGACGATGAGCAGTATGGAAGAAGGAGGAATTGGTGCGAAAGAGTTCGATTACACCACCTACTACAATGTGCCCGAATGTCCTGTCTTCCGCCCGACAGCAAGAGAGTTTCAAAATCCTTCCAAGTGAGCCTGCTAGAGACGACGAAGATGGGAGGAGGGAGGCGGGGGACGAGGTGTTGGTGGAGGGGAGAGAGGAGAAGAGGAAGGGATGGGGACAAAGAGGATAGTAACTTTGACCCTCTCCTTGGAACAGGTACATTGAGTCCATTGCCGACAAAGTTCGACCCTTTGGAATTTGCAAGATTGTTCCGCCAGAGTCCTGGAAGCCTCCCTTCATGCTCAACAGGAAGACCTTCTCCTTTCGGACAAGAGGTGATCGCTCTTGGACGTCTCCGTGTGGCTGACAGGAGCTCCAACAGTACAACACGTGAACTACCTCGACGGTCAGGCTCGGCAGCGGCTCATCTTTGTTGAGAACCTCTGCCGCTACATGTCTCGCATCGGACGGCCGCTAGAGAGGCTGCCGACTGTGGGAAGTGCCACCCTGGATGTCTGCAGGCTGTTCCGAGAAGTGGTCAGCAGGAAGGGGATGGTGGCTGTGACGGGAGGGAAGCTGTGGTCCGAGGTAGCACGCGCCATGGGCTTCGAAGCTCCGTTCGGAGCTGCGCTCAAGATGCATTACGGGAGGATACTGTTTGAGTATGAGAAGTACAAGCACCCGGAGCTCAACGAGGTGAAACAGGAAGAGATCGCAGAGGAGGCGATGGAAGGGCATGAGGGAGAGGAGGCTAAGGCAAGTGAGGAGCAGAAGAAGAAGAGGAGGAAGAGGAAGGTGGAGGCCGACTCGAGTTCTCCCGTGCGCATCACGCGGGGAAGGAAGGCGGAGGAAGAGAGCTCGTCGGTCAATGGCAAAGAGGCCGATCCGACGAGGATGGAGGGAGGAGCAGCTGCGGGTGAAGAGGAGGAGCAGAGGGATGGGGGATGCGCCAAGATAACAGCAGCATCTGATCCCGTCGTAAAAGTGGAGGAGGAGGAGGAGGAGGAGGCAGTTGAGAAGGTTGCAGAGCCTCGGACGCCTGAAGACTCTCAAGTGAAGCAGGAGGAAGACAAGGATGAAGAGATTTTGATACAGGAGAAGAAGGAGAAGCAGGAGGAGAAAGAGATTGAGACTGCGAGAGGTGGGGATGGGGGAGAAGAAGAGGAAATGCAGGAGGGAAGCAAGAGGAGGCTGGAGCGGCCATGGAGATGGACACAGAGAAGAAGGTGAAAGTTGTCGGGAGCAGGAGGGAGCTGATTCTGAGCACAGAAGGGAAACGACTCCGAGGATGAGGATGCGGAAGACTACGAGTTTGGTTACCATGACGGGAACGTGTACAGCCTGCAAGGCTACAAGAAGATGGCGGACAGCTGGAAGGAGACGTTCTTCGAGAGAAGCATCAAGTCGATCACGCAAGATGAGACCGAGAGGATGTACTGGAGGGTCCTTGACCATCCTGAGACGGCGGTGGAGGTCGAGTACGGCAGTGAGCTACACACCACCATCCACGGCAGCGCCTTTCCGACAGCAGGGAACCCAAGGAACCCGCTGGACAACACGAGCGCCAACTCAGCCTACAGCAGGTCAGCGTGGAACCTCAACAACCTCAACAGCTGTACGCTGCTGAGCTATGTCAAGGAGGACATCCCTGGTGTGATATCTCCTTGGATCTATGCTGGCATGTGCTTCTCTACTTTCTGCTGGCACAATGAAGACCACTACCTCTACAGCATCAACTACCTCTGGGAGGGAGAGCCGAAGCAGTGGTACGGCGTCTCCGGCGAGGAGGCGGATGCGTTCGAGCAGGCGGCGCGGGAGTATGCGCCCGAGCTGTTCCTGCAGGAACCCGACGTGCTCTTCCGGCTGGTGACAATGATTCCTCCCTCCTACCTGAAGCAGAAGGGCGTCAACGTCTTCCGCGCGCGGCAGGAGGCAGGAGAGTTCATGCTCACGTTCCCTCGCGCCTACCACGGAGGCTTCAACATGGGCTACAACCTCGCCGAGTCCTGCAACTTCGCCCTCACCGACTGGATCCCCTGGGGATGTATGAGTGACTTTCGGTACCGCGAGCTCGCGCGGCCCCAGGTGTTTTCCACCTGCGCCTTCCTCGTCTCCCTCGCCCAGGACTGCAAGACGGTCGCGGCGTCGGTGTGGGCGCATCCCGAGCTGACTCGATACTTCCGCACGGAGAAGGCAAGGGCTCTCCTCCTCCTCTCTCAGGGACTGAGCAGCAGGAGGACGATGGAGCATCACGAGTTCGGGGGCATCCTGACCAACGTGCTGCACGGGAAGGCAGGAGGGGGAGGGAGTTTCTTCGAGGGGAAGCGAGTTTGCAACGGGAGGGTGAAGAGGCTGAACCTGAGCATGCAAGAGTTCCGCCGCAGGCGGGACGAGGCGCAGCGAGACGAGTGCTTCCACTGCAAGGGCAGCACGTTCCTCTTTCAAGTCCGCTGCTCCTGCGGGAAGAAGGAGGTCAGCTGCGTGTGGCATGCGGACAGCCTGTGCGAGTGTGCGCTGTCCAAGAGGATACTGGAGGAGAGGTTCTCGGAGGAGGAGATGAAGGACCTTCTGGCAGAGGAGAAGGCTCGCGCCGACGCCCCCAAGGAGTGGAGCATCCGGTCGGAGGAGCTGCTGAGGGGGAAGGGGAGAGCGTCCCTTCTGTGAAAGCTCTGCAGCAGCAGCTGGTGGAGGGCGAGACGATGGTCAGAACGAGCCCTCTGATCCAGCTGAAGATGGCGGAGCTGAGAAGCGTCGTCGATGCCTGCAAGCAGTGGAGCTCGAAGGCGCAGAAGTTGAAGAGCTCGCTGGCCGCTGCGAGCTCAGGAGGAGGAGGAGGAGGAGGAGGAGGAGGAGGAGGAGGAGGAGGAGGAGGAGGGGATTTTCTACAGGTCTTCGAGGTTGAGCGCATGATCGAGACAGGGCAGAGCTTGAGAGCGAGACCGGAAGAGCTGAGAGATTTTCTCCTCTTGCGCGAAAAGCTCGAGGACCTGCGAGCGCGAGCTCGAGCGGCGCTGGAGAGGGAGGAGGAGGAGGAGGAGGCGAGCGGCAGCACCTCCCGATAGCAGTGGGCTGACGTGCTTGACAGGTGCTCGCGGGGCTAGTCGGAGAGTTTGCCGGGCTCGGCTTCACCTCGTCGGAGCACAAGAAGCTCGTAGGGAAGCTCGAGCTGGTTCGCTGGAGGAAGCGACTTCCTCCCCTCCCAGGAGCGAGCGGCTGCCTCGGCCATGCCCTTGTGACGCTGCATGCAGGTCGGATCACCATGAAGGAGCTGAAGGAGCTGCTGGCGGTGGCGGAGGAGAAGAAGATCGCGTGCGAGGAGCTGAACAAACTTCGAGACTCGCTGGCACGCGCGTCGCTGCTGCTGTCGAAGATTGTCAAGGCAAGGAGCAAGCGATCGAACATGCAGAGCCTGCGGGCGATCCTAGAGGAGGCGAGGAAGGAGGAGGAAGAGGAGGATATCAAAGTCGAGATCGAAGAAGTGAAGGAGCTCAGGACAGACCTCGAACAGTGCGACTTGTGGGTCAAGAAGATACGAAGTTTCTCTTTCTGCCGGGGAGGAGGAGGAGGAGGAGGAGGAGGAGAGCAGCATCCGGAGAAACCGACCTTGTCAGAGCTTGAAGGTCTACAGAATCTGTATTATGGTCTCAACATCTTCGTGGATGCTTTCGATATCATCCGAGCTCCGATACAAGAGGGACAAGGTAGAGCTTCTCCTCCCTCCTCCTCCCTCCCTCCCTCCTCCTCCTCCCTCCTCCCTCCTCCCCTCGTCCCCCCTCCCTCCTCCCTCCTCCCTCCTCCCTCCTCCCTCCTCCCTCCTCCCTCCTCCCTCCTCCCTCCTCCCTCCTCCCTCCTTGTCCCTCTTCGTCTCTTCTCTCTCACCCCTCTTACTTTTCCTCTCCTATTCCTTTCTCCCACCTCTCACCTTTCTCATCGCTCATCACTCCTCCTTCCTCCCTCCTACTCCCTGCTTCACCTTCCTTCTCTCTTACCTTCTTCTGACCCTCCACTGGTTAACGCCATGGCCTCTGCTAGAACTTGTTGCATGATGTTGCTTGCGATCTTGGTAACTTTTCCTCCCCTTCTCCTTCCCCTCAGGCTTGGAGGCGCAAGGCGATCAAACTCGCCCCCAACTTCTTCGAGCAGGGCGGCAGACAAGCTGGGAGCGAGGTGGAGGGGCGGAAGGAGGAGGAGGGAGGCAGCGAGCTGGCCGATGGCAACGAGGAGAGCGAAAGGAGCGAACAACCAGCCCGTCTTGAGGAGACGTCGAACGTTGCTCAACCCTCCTCCTCCTCCTCCTCCTCCTCTGGTTCTGCAGATGTCGATCAGGTTGACACGTTGCTGATCTCGCCGTATGTAACGAGAGGGAGCAGCTCATGGAGCTGCTGCGAGAAGAAGAGACACTGCGGGTGACGGTGGACGAGGCAGCAGCGCTGAGGAGCAAGGTTGAAGAGTATCAGCGATGGTGGGAGGTAACCAATCCGCTGGTGGAGAGAGCGATGAAGGACGAGGTGAGAGGAGCGAGTTGGGGAGCAGGGCAGGCACTCATGGTGTTCAGACGGTTCCGGACGCCCTTGCGCTACAGCAGGAGCTGCGTGCCGCGCACGAGACGCTGTCGTCACTCGGAGTGAGGAGGGGGACAGAGAGTATGCAGCTCGCGCGGGCATTGTGGAGAGCAGATGCGATGAGGAGCCGGACGAGAGGAGAGGTCGAGCTGGAGGAGGCAGTCGAGCTCATGGTGAGAGATGAGCGAGGAGGGAAGGAGGGAGGGGGGGAGGGGAAGAAGAGGAGGGTGGAGGAGGTTGTTTGACGAAGTGCCGCGGTAGATGCGAGGAAGGGAGCTGGAGCTTGAGGAGGATACGCTTTTCTCGGAGACGAGGAGGAGGATCCTGTCGAGCCTGCCTGCGGTGTGAAGATCTGGTGGTTCCAAGAGGAAACTCATCACCTTGTAGGCCTGCGTGTGCGGGAAACTTGTGAAGGAGGAAGAAGCGATGCGATGCGCCGAATGCTCCCACAAGTATCGATGATGATGATGATGATGATGATGATGATGATGATGATGATGATGATGATGATGATGATGATGATGATGATGATGATGATGATGATGATGGTGGTGGTGGTGGTGGTGGTGATGATGATGATGATGATGATGATGATGATGATGATGATGACGGAGATGATGATGATGATGATGATTTTCAAACTTGCTCAGGTATCATCCTCGTTGCCTCAACATCTGCCTGTCCGACACTGTTCAAGAGTTTCGATGCGAAGCCTGCAGGAGACTTGCTGCTTCCCGCTTGTCCGATCAATTCCATCCAGCAGAGCCTGTGAGCCTTCTCCTCCTTGAGACAGTCTTCATCTAACTATGTCGGCAGCAGGAGCAAGAAGCTGCCGCCCTACCTGAGGGGTCCCTCTGCCAGGTTGCTTCAACATCCTTCTTCGCCTGCTCCTGCTCCTGCTCCTGCTCCTGCTCCTGCTCCTGCTCCTGCTCCTGCTCCTGCTCCTGCTCCTCATCATGACGAAGCATCGTCGTGGCAGGTCTGCTTTCGGGAGGAAGGAGAGGATCTCGTGGAGTGCAAGCAGTGTCAGACGTCTGTGCATGCTTCCTGCTACGGGTGGGCAGGAAGAGCTGGCGATGCGTTCTGTTGTCGGGCATGTGAGCACGGGGTGAGGAACCTTTCCTGCCTCGTCTGCTGCAGAGCAGGAGGAGCTTTCAAGCCCTGTACCTCCGGTTCGTGTCCTGGAGAAAGGGAGGAGCTGCTGACGGCGAGCAGGAGACTGGGTTCACCTGTGCTGCGCCAAGAGGGCCGAGGGAGTTCTCTTTGTGGACGAGGAGAGGAAGGAGCCGGTGGCTGGCGTTCCTCCACCAGCGGTGCTGCTAGAGGGTGAGGGTGAGGAGGAGCTGAGCTGAGGGAAGCAGGTGCCTAGGAAGGGCGTCAAGTGCAGCATGTGCAAGCTTGCAGCAGGACAACTTGTGACATGCTCCGTGAGCGGCTGCCGGATCAAGTTCCACCTCTACTGCGCTCTCTCCTGTCGCCTGCGGGAGAGGAGGAAGGGGTTCGCGTGCTGGAAGCACTCGAGCGAGGAGGAGGAGGTCTACTGCATCTGCCGGCAGGGGTGAGACGTCCTCCTCCATCCTCTCCCTCCTCCTCCCGCTCTTCCTCCTCCCCTTCGTCTTCTTCCTCCTCTTCCTCCCCTTCCAACTTTCACCACTGAGCTCTTGCCATGTTCAGGTATGAAGAAGGAGAGTTTATGATTGAGTGCGATCACTGCAAAGAATGGTTCCACGGGTCCTGTGTCGGTGTGGAGGAGGAAGCTGCGGAGGTTGATTCCTGCTGCTCCCTCCTCTGCTACGCTCACTTGCAGTGCAGGAATGGGAAACTTGGACGTGCGATAAGTGTCGAGCTACTGCTGAACCCGACGAACTTGCATGACCAGTATCAACATGAAGCTCAGGATTTTAAGTTCATTCAAAAAAAGTTCGAGGAGGCCGACAACGACGAAGCGCCTCTGACCCGCCATCTCCTGTGTCTCTCTCTAACGTTAACATCTCAGTGCTACGATGACTCCGCAAACTGAACCACCGAGACCACTTGCCCCGCGTCTTTGAATGTACACATTCAAAACAATAATTTACTCGAGGAAAGGTCCTCCAGTAAGCTTGTCAATGCACTTCAAGCGGTTGGAGAGGTACTGTACAACATGTCAGATGTCCACATCATACCGAGCAAGACAGCAGGTAGAAGAGAGGGGACCAAGACAAGGGGAGGAAGATCCAGGGGCAGCGCTTACGTCGAACTGCTGAACACAGTAGTCGATGCGTCCCTTGTTCTTGTAGATGTTGGTCCAGGTGTTCCTCGAGGAGCCAAGGGGAGGAACGTAGCCAGCAGGGGGCTCTGGGATACCTTCAAGCTTGAAGAACATGGTGGTCTGTAACCAACAGTCATGGCTCCATCGAGAAAGTCAACTTCCAACATGGAACCATTCTCAATACATGAAACACAACCACGATCTAAACAGAATATGCATACGTTGACGTAAACAATAGGACATGAGCATTGAACTGTAGATGACCGTAAATATTTTCTCTTTTCACAACGCTACCCATCCTGGAACAACTCTGCTGTTTTGTCTCACAGGGACCAATACAACCAGCAAACTGTTCAGAACTTCACATCACGAAGACAAGATAAGGATAAACGAGGAGAGTCACGAATCTGGCTTGTGAAATAACACCGATGCGAGGAGTCAGCAACAGTCAGTGAGGAGATATGATATAAACAGTCTGCATGAAACCAAAAAAGCATGCAGATGACAACAGGACGCATCGCACACGAACAACATGCATTCATCGTTCAAGGACGCACGAACATCACCGTACACAGCATGCGCGCGATCAGACACAGCATTAGGGTTGGGCGGCATGGACCTGTCGGCGTGGAGGGTCGTGACCCTTGGGACTTTTTTTGATCTCCCAAGGGGCAGTAACGGTTCTGTAACGTATTGCATAACGATGAGCGTAAAGAATAACGCTTATAACGGACATTACAATGATGCGGGCTCGGTTAGTTATCACAAGTCTGTGAGCCTCGCCTTCAAGCTAGCCACAGTTTTCACATTTTCAACTTCTCAGCTCAAATTTCATCTTTTCCAGCGAAATTTAAGCCCTGAAGTTTTTTTGAAGGGGTTTCCGAAACGACGTGTAAGTGAATCGTTTCGAACTTATAATACAGACTACCCTATTGTTTCAATTCATATCAAGTAACCCCTACCTCCAATTTTCATAGGGAAATCCACCGCCCTTTCTCCCTAGATACAAATACCCACCCCCTTTCACACGATCATAAATGTACCCTCACCCCCTAGAAAGCCCTGGCCTAGTGACTCCATTTTTTTTTAAAACAGAACCTCAACTGTTGTACCCCACCCCCATGACCAACCCCTCTGTGCGATCGATCCCTCTACCCGTGGATATCCCTCTCAAATGCCCCCATCGAGAACTGAAACTGATGAGACTACCCTACCCCAGAGAGGGGTACCCCGTGACGTCAATTTGCCAATCTCAAGATCAAGGTCAATCTGAATTTAAAACCATCAATTTATAATTAAAATGGATGTGAGAAATCGATTTGTACCGGCCAGGAAAATGTTTTTGAGTTTTATCGTAACTGTAATCAGTACTAAAATTTGTTAACTGTAGTCCCCAAAAGGTAGTTACATAGTACTATTTCATCTAAAATATGTTTTGTACTGGGTTTTAGACTTTATAAAGTATTACCCAAATCCCCATGCCTGAACTGCCGCTATGCGGCAGGGTCGGAAGAAGTCATTGCCTCAATGCAGAACCCTCCAGCTTCTTCCTATGGCTTGCATCCTGACGAAGAGATGTCTGCTCCCAGCCTTCCCAGCCTCCTCTTCCTCTTCATGATCATACCTCTGCTAATGCAACTCCTTTGCCGCTGAAAAAGTCAATTCTGCCCCCGTCTTCCTTCCTAGTGACCCGCTCACCTTGTGTGATCCATTCGCAAACTGCTCTTGCTTCCGCAGGATCTGGAACATCATCATCCTCCATTCTCACTTTGGCCTCTCACGCAACCTGGCGTGCATACCCGAACCTTCATTCCAATCCTCGTTCATTTCAACACTCAATGTTTTCAGCTACACTTCATCGCGTTGTCTTGGTGTCACCATTTCTCTCCTGAGTCCTTAGAAATGCTCATAGATCAATATCAATCACTTTGATGCATTCAAACTCTCTCTTACTCTGTGACGTCAGGTGCTGGGGATGGGCGTTGTAACGCCTCTGGTGCCGTTCCAGGAGGCAGCAGCCTGACTTTGTTCTTATCTGTTTCTTGAATGTTCCGCTTGTTCGGTCGACGACCGAAGCCAGAGCCCAATGGCTACCTGGCATGCCTGAAGGACAACTCGCTCGCGTCCTACCTCCACGAGGCGTTCAAGCTTCTGGAGCTCAGGTTCAAAACGTACGATAAGGACGGGGCGGAAACTCTCATGTTCTACGAGTTGGAGCGACAGCTGTCTCTGGCTGGGTTTGCCGATCATGAGAAGCTAGAGCATCTGTTCAACCGGGTCGACCTCGACAAGAATGGGACGCTGGACTTTGCAGAATTCCTGTGCCTGCTGTACCTCTGGGTGGACCAGGGGGACTACTCGCATTTCTTTCAAGTCCCGCAGAACGCGATGATCGTCTCCCAATCGTTTGCGCTCATGGAGAGAGCGATGATCAAATACGACAAGGACAAGAGCAGAGCACTGTGTATAGCTGAACTGAATTCTTTCTTCAAGGACCACCTGCCGGAAGCCTTTTACTCTGGTACTTACCAACAAATTGTCGACCTTGTATACCCCGTCTCTTCCCGGCAGGTAGTTTTCTGTGCCTTTGGGTCAGGACTGAGCATGCTGACGGTGTGTCAGGCTGGGAAGGAGCTTTCCTTCCCTAAGTTCATGATCCTCCTCTATGAGATCATGTGCCGATACCCACAATCGAAGCTCGATGGCTTCTTCTCGAAGCTTGGATCCCACAGCCAGTACGTCATGGACGCCTCACAGGAGCACCACAGCAAAGAGAAGAGCCGATTGTGGATATCTCTCCAGCAGGCCTTTCAGCACCTCGAAGAGGATTTCAATCGATTCGATGCGAATGGCGACATGTTGGTCGACTTTGTTGAGATCACTCAGGGAATCCCGCTGACTTGTCAAGGAACAGACAAGGTGAGTATCTTGTCTCGGCTGGAGTATGCCTACAAGCAGGTGGACTTCGATCGCTCCGGGACGTTGGACTTCTTCGAGTTCGTCTACATGAGTTTCATGATGACACAGAACGGGTCCTACCATGAGCTGGTAGAGCACTCGCAAGGGTCCCAGATCGTCAAGAAGTCGTTCATTGACATCCACACATTCTACCGGAAGTACGACACAGACGGGAACCTCCGGCTCACGTACGATGAACTTGAGAAGTTTTGTACAGATTTGTTCGGGGAGATTCCGGCTGAGGTTCCCGGGCTGTTCGCTAAAGTGAGTTACCAAAGCTCGGCGACGCAGGGAAGGAGGGCAGTCGATGTGGTTCGATTTATGAAGTTGCTGTACATGCTGATCAAACCCAACGGAAGGTTTCATCCTGACAGGTACAACCCGACCAAGCAGCCCGCCTCAAAGAACGACAACATCATCTCCATGCCCATGGCAAAGCATTCCACCAGGCCCTCAAGGTTTCAAAACATCGTCCCAGCCAAGTTCATGAAGCACAAGCTGCTGGGTAAAGGAGGACAAGGGGAGGTCTACATGGGACAGTATGAGACAGTGCTGTGTGCGGGGAAGACGCTGATAGGCGACATCGATGAGCATGCTGTGCGAGAAACGATGGCGGAGGTCGATTTCTTCATGAAGCTGGACCATCCTAATTGCCACTACCTGCTGGGGGCCAAGACCTCGATCGAGAACGGAGGGATCCTACTGCTGACTGAATTATGTGAACTTGGCTCCATCTACGACTTCTACGGGAAAAGCCGAAAGACTTTCGACATCCCGACAGCATTGCGACTTGCGCACGAATGCGCGACAGGCTTCTCGGTGATCCACCAGATGGGATTCATGCATCGAGACATCAAATCTCTGTAAGCCGCTCGTTATCTTTCTCCTCCCTCCCTCCCTCCCTCCCTCTACTCCCTCCCTCCCTCCCTCCCTCTACTCCCTCCCTCCCTTCCTCCTTCCCTCCCTCCCTCTACTCCCTCCCTCTTCTCCCCTCTTCTCCCCTCGCTTCCTCACCACCACTCACCGCTTCCTTCCTCTCCTGCTCTCCTCTTCTGAACTCCTCATCACCTCAACTTGTGTTCTCCTCTCACTTGTCATGGCAGGAACGTGTTCCTCACTTCTGATTTCATCGCCAAGGTCGCTGACTTCGGCATGTGTACAAACTCTCCGTTCGCATGCGAGGCCTGCGGGACCCCGCAGTGGATGGCGCCAGAGGTGCTGGCCAACGTGCTGGGCAAGGCGACCATGTACGATCACAGCATCGACATTTACAGCTACGGGGTCCTCCTCTGGGAGCTCTTTCATTGCAGCACTCCCTACGCGGACACGAGACTAGATCAGATGGGGATATGTAAGAGCGTCTTCTACCATGACATCCGTAGGTGCTGCCTCCTCCTCCCTCCTCCTCACTCGCCCTGCAGGACCCAAGGTTGGCTCCTGCTGCCCTCCTCGCATCGCTGCGATCATCCATCAGTGCTGGGACAAGGTACCAGGGAACCGCCCGTCCTTCCTCCAGGTGAGCTCAGGACGTGCCTTGCTGCCGTGTGACGCTCAGGTGCAGATCTGCTCGGCGCTAGAAGAGATTCGAGGCTCCATGGCTCTGTGAGAAGCGAGAGAGAGGAAGAAGAGAGGAAGAAGAGAGGGAGCTCGTGTACGATGGGATTACATAAGATTCAATATAAGTGTCAAGGAAGGAAACATCCAACAGCAGCAGCAGTTTCAAGCTTGCTCTTGCCCTTCCGTTTTGTCTCCTGTCAACTACCGCGCTAGAGACTCGATGTGGTCGTAGGCGTCGAGCGTCATGCTGCCCTCCACACTGCCGTCCAGTCAGCAGGGGACAGGAGAGGGTTACGGAGAGCGTGGAGGGGAGGGAAAGGAGGAGAGAGAGAGCGAGAGAGACAGAGAGAGGGAGAGGGAAAAAGGGAGGGAGAGGCAGAGGGAGAGGGAGAGGGGAGAGGCAGAGGCAGAGGCAGAGGGAGAGGCAGAGGGAGAGAGAAAGAGAGCGAGGGCGAGGGAGAG